CCCCAAAACCCCAAAACCCCAAAACCCCAAAACCCCAAAACCCCAAGGGACGTCAGTAGTACTGAAATTAATTAATATAACCTGAAATGGAGCTTCGCTCAAGAATATTTATTTCTTACAATATTAAAGATGCCTAAGTTTAGTTAAAATTTTCGAATTTATAGGTGCAAACGGACTTTTCTTCTCAACGATTGAACTTTCCAGAAATATGTTACTATTTTTTATTTTTCTCATTCTTGCACAAGCCCATGCTTTCAGCTTTGAAACCTCGTTCCACCTATGCTCCATTGACTTTGAGTTGAGAAGAACGATAATGTAATGATCCTTGGTGATACATCAGTTGTAGCTGGCTGCTAAGCAAGGGCCTGCTGTTGGAGTAATTCCAGTTTTCAGTCCATTAAAGCCTAATTTCCACAGCAACTTATTTGTATTTTCCCATCAGTAATACCTTGGCTTGAATTCGATGCCTTGGAAGTCTTTATCATAATCCTGAGGCTTCTTGGAATATCATTTATATCTTTTCAACTTTACTATCTTAGAAAAGTTTGAATTCTTTAATCAAATGGAACTAATCTTGGCTAAATCAGATGCAGTTGAGGTATTCCATCTGTTCATCAGTCCATGGGGTGAGTCAAAGAAGGAGTTATTTGCATCTTAATTCTTCACGAACGATATAGTTCATTTCCATTAAGAAATATTTGGCATAACCATACTTAAATCATGAGAATTTGTGTAGATACTTTGATTTTACTGGCCCTTCTTCATCGTCAGATTCTTTGCTTTCTGTAGTTTCGAGTTCTTCGGTGTTCGCATCTGTTGAATTCTCTTTTAAATCCTTCTTTGGTTTTATGATGCCTTTTTCCTTGCCAGCTTTATTTTAAAATCTGACCGAAATGTTCTGCAAGGAGGTATCCAGCGTCGTTACCACTAGGAAGCATTAGGCCGTGGAGGAGGTCCCAGATTGACAGTCAATCACCGAGTTTTAGCTTTGCTGAAGTGCCCCCTATCGATGATGCATCTTCTGTTACTTCAATAATTGTTGATTTTAAGTCGATTGACATTTTAGTTCAAACTCTTAAGACTGTAAAGCATACAAGAATCTTTGTAAGACTGGCTATCTCTCTTATCTCATTTTCTAGTCGTCCGAATAGAATTTGGCCGTTCTTACCATCAGCTACGACCCATCACCGGCTTGTGACAAATGGAGGCGGAAGATCCAGAAGGGTCTTCATTAGAATAATTTCCTTATTTATTCATAGACTCTTTAGCTTTTTCATTCAATGGAGGAAGTTTCTTACTAGACGGCCTCCTTTTTAAAGTCTTTTTTGGGCTCTCTTTACTTATGGAAGAGGCCCTACGAGTTCGGTGAGGTCTTGAAATTGTATTTTGTATTCAATCATCTATCTTCTTATTATTTGCCACCTGTTCCTTTGTTATAGGTCCTTGCACTAAGGAAAGTTAAGGAATCACCTACTCTGGATCTGTTTAGTTGTGAATAAAGTTATATGGTTGTCATCCAGGGTTTGCATCTGTTCGATCTGAAGCGGAGTATTGCTCTTTCCTTTGATGATAAATGAATTTTTCTCCATTGGATAATTTATATACTTCTAAATAAAATTATTCTATATGGCTGCTACTCCTGGGGTTTTGGGGTTTTGGGGTTTTGGGGTTTTGGGG